CTGGATTTTGTTTACTAAGAAAGATTCGCTCTCGGCAGCCTGGATTAGGAAGCATATGCTTAAGCATGATACATTCTGGAATACAGAACCAAGTTCAAGTGCATCTTGGCTTTGGAAATCTTTGATGGCTCTTAGACCTTTAGCAAAGCGTTTTCTTAGAAGCTCTATTGGGGATGGTCAAGATACTAGCTTTTGGTATGATCATTGGTTAGACTTGGAACTTATTATAGAGGTTGTTGGACCAAATGGTCCCTCCTTGATGGGAATCAATGTGTCAAGTACTGTTGCAGATGCTTGTTGCTCTACAGGCTGGTATTTGCCTACTTCTAGAACAAGGAATTTGGCTCTAACAACTTTGAGGACAAAGCTCATGGAAACTACTCCACCCAATTCGTCTATTGGCCCAAACTCTTACTATTGGTACACTAATAGCTCCTCCAATATAGGTTTTTCATCACGCCAAAATTGGGAGCAGCTCCGAGCTATGGTCGAAAGTATTGCGGTTCAAAGGCTTTATTTCCAAGCACGCTTTCCTGTTCGGTCAAGGCTTGCTCTTGGGGGTATTGACACTCCAATTTCATGTTGTATTTGCAACCAGCAAGCGAAAACTAGAGACCACCTCTTCTTGCATTGTGATTTCAGTTCTCAGGTTTGGGCTCATGTTCTGAGACGCAAACTGGGCTAGTTTAAATTCTTGGCTCTCCTCCACTTTTTCAAGGAAAAAAACTACTTTGCAGCGGCTAACGATCCAAACAACGATCTTCTTTCTTTGGAAAGAAAGAAACAATCGGCTTCACAGTGGCTCTGCTATCTCTGATTTGGAAGTTTTCAAGCAAATTGACAAATGCATCAAAAACATCATTCTTGCTCGCAGACATCGTAAGTCTTTCAGGAACCTCTCTCTAACTGGTTCTTGTTTGAATAGTTGATTAGCATCCTGTAAGATTTGTTATTTCTCTCTTTGTTTCGATTAGGTTTTTTTACTCTTTTTTTTTTGCCTCTTGAAACTGTTTAGTTTCTCCAAGCTTTTATAAAACAACGGTTATTTTTGGTATATAATTCACATATTATC